TACTCCCAAAAATCCAAATATATTTGTATTCTATATTGATGGGATTTCAACCAGAACCAACAACAACAAAAAAACAACAACAACCAAGCTTTTTCTTTTCGAAAATTCCCAAAAAATATCCAACCTAAAATCCCTAACCCCCCTTTTCTGAAGAGGAAAGGGGGTTTATGAAAGAGAAGAAGAATTAGGGTTTCGAATTTTGGGCGGGATCGACCATTTGAGGCCCGTCTGCTATTCGAAATTCAAAAAAAACCCAAACTTATCCAAAGCACTCGAGCGAGAAAGAGGTAGAGGGATGAGATTAGTTTCTCGTACTGGACAGGCTACGTGGAGCCATCTTGTGCTACCAAGGACGAACAAGGACTACTCGCGTTGCCTAGCACTGCGAAATCGTACGAGTGAGAGAGACTTTGCGAGAGAAATGACAAAAGACAGCAGGTGTCCGTTGCTAAATCCTCCATCACGTGCGATGAGAGAGATGAGGGGAGGGAGCCGCGACGCGTGAGGAAACGCAGAGGCCGATTGTTGGAGTCGCGTGAGGCTACTGTTTTTGGTTTCTGTTGCTTTTCCGCGTTTTTTGGGTTCTGCTGGGGTATCGCGTGGTTGGCTTGGGAATTTGTTGGCATCTGCTGGCTTTTTTGGTTTTTTTTTGTTTCTTCCGTTTCTGCTTTTCTGGAAACGTTAGGCGTGGGGGAAGAGGAAAGGAGGGAAGAAGGGATATGGAAAGGGGTTGGGTCGGGTAGAAGGGAGAAACGGGTCAGGGTCGGGTTGAAGGGAAATGTGGGCTGGGTCGGGTAAAACTTAAAGTGTTGGGCCTAGGAATGGTTTGGGCTGCTAAGGGAAATTGGGTTGGTTTCGAATATACACAAGATATACCGGCTATATACACAACTATATAAACGTTAAATCGTTATATTAAATTATAAAACTAATTAATTTAAGTGATTTAGGAAACTCATGAAGCTCGCTAATTAAATCATACCGGCGCGGGTCAAAAATTGGGTGTCAACAACTGTCCCTCATTTTACTTGGGTTGATGCAAGCAACTCAAGGAAAATGAAATTGACCGAACCAATTTTGACCAACTCCATTCGACCCTTTTTTTTAAAGAAGGATTTGACAAAGAGTTTAGGAATTATGGCCGAACCCTTGAAAATAGGTCTCTTACATATCTCAGGCTATATGAGAATTCAGGGCACTTGTAGTTCGATAAGCTTGATTTACCGCATGATTTTGGAAGAATCAAAAGCCACTTCGATACCAAATTATGAAGCTATCAAAATGCTCGAGAGTAGAATTCGAGAGCGGATGTTGGAACACAGTCGAGTTTTCAACATTGAATCCGCCTACATATCCTTAAACCTTCGGAATCAGGCTGTGTGTAGTTCAACTCGATCGTTGGAAAATGAGATCTATTATGCTAGATAACATTTGGTTTTGGACAAGTGACAAATTAACGAGTATAAAAAGGAGGCTTGTAACCTCTTATCCATGAATGTGGCGTGCTTCATACCCGTAGGTTAGAACTTGCACGAACATAACTTTCAAAACTCTTGGTGTATCATCACTCAGATTGGAAACTTGCTTCCGATAGATCGAAACTTTCGGATGCGAGACTGAAACTGACAGGACTAAAGAAAGACCGACATGCCTCGAGAGGGTGGTTCAATTGTGGTGGAAGTCTCTCCTCTGCTCGCGTCCTAAGAGTTTGACATTCCTCTTCGGGCTGTGTCCCAGTTCGCTGCTAAGAAAAAGTTCCACGTTGTGCTGCATCCTTTTTAATGTCGTCCGCACCTGTGGTTTTTGGAGAATTCATCCTTTTCGGATGCTCTCAACAAAGACTGAGATAAAACTCATCATCTTAAAAATGTAATTAGGGTGGACGACAGTGTCTTTTAACCGTGCTGACACTTCATTGTTCTCCTCAAATCGACGTCGACTCGATCGGTCTGGCGTCCAGCAAATAAAGCTTATGTCTTGTGTTTTGCAATAAAATCTTCAACGTACATCTTCATTTGATGCTAAAATAAATAAATGAATGTTGATGCAATATTGATGTCTCTTTTGTCGTTATCTTTGATGCTTTTCTTGATGTTTACTTTTATAATAAATAACAAAATGCAATCGAGGCCAATGGATAAGTGTTGCTCTTTCTTTATCCGTGTATGTCCTCTTGCAGGGCATGAATATCTTCCCAAGATACGTAAATTCTTGCGAGGTATAAAATTTTCTCGCAATGCATAACTTTCAGCGAGGCATGAATTCTTCTCGCGATGTGCAAAATTTCAACGAGGCATGGATTCTTCTCGTGATGCACAAATTTCAGCGAGGTATAAATTCTTCTCGCGATGTTTAAATTCCAACGAGGTATAAATCCTTCTCGCGATATATAAATTTGACGAGGCATGAAGTCTTCTCGTCGAGTATAAATTCCAGCGAGGTATAAAGTCTTCTCGTGATGTATAAATTTGACGAGGCATGAAGTCTTCCCGTCGAGCATAAATTCCAGCGAGGTATAAAGTCTTCTCGCGATGTATAAATTTCAAATTCGCGATGCATGATTCTTCAGTGTATGATTTTCCGCTATGCATGATTTCCGCGATGCATGATTCTTCAGTGTATGCTTTTCCGCAATGCATGATTTTTGCAATGCATGATTCTCCGCGATGCATGAATATTTATATCATCTGTGTTGATGATAATGGCAAGACGATCTCCAAATAACATATCGACTTGATCAATAATAATAATAATAATAATAATAATAATAATAACTATCCTCTCTAGGGTAATGCATTGTCTTGATTGACAATAATTATTTTGCTTTGATGACGTAATGCAAACAACGTCCTCTACAGAAATCGTGAAATCTTTGCTGAGAATCCTGTTTGATTCACCTTTGAATCTGGCCAGACACTTTTGTAAATTTCATATTGTTGGGGAATGTCTTGAAATAAACAAACACATTCACAAGTCTTTGACATGAGCGATATAAAATGCTTCCTGTTCTGAATAAAATTACTGATTTTGGGGATAGCTTTCTCCTCTTTGGAGTTCTCTGTAACGAGTAACCAACTCAATAATTATCCAACTGTAACGAGGTGGATGCTCGATAATATTCCAACTGTAACGAGGTGGATGCTCGATAATATTCCAACTGTAACGAGGTGGATGGCTCGATAATAGTCCAACTGTAACGAGGTGGATGCTTGATAATATTCCAACTGTAAAGAGGTGGATGGCTCGATAATATTCCAACTGTAACGAGGTGGATGGCTCGATAATATTCCAACTGTAACGAGGTGGACGCTCGATAATGTTCCATCTTATTCAAAAAATAGAAACCTACAATAGAAAAGCACATATACGAACCACTTATGGGGTGGATCGCCCAACAAACTATATGCTAAAGTCTTTGATTGGCCAATCAAAACACATTATCCACTTATGGGGTGGATACCCAACAAATAAGAATTATGACTCTGACATATTCTAGAAACAAAGTACGATGAAATTGCTACACGACAAACATATTAAAAACTAAATTGACGTTTATGCACGTCGCGGCTATGATTTTGTTCTCTAAAAGAAAGAATTATCGAGGTGAATGACTTAATTCATTCACATGAAAAAAAAGACACTTTCGTCTTCCTAGACAAACTCAGCAGAAATTAAGTTTGTTGCAGTCCTTTTAATCATTTATCAGAAACTTGTAACGATTCAAATTTTTGACTGTCAAGGAGATATTGGTAACCATCATCTTTCTGATGGGATGGACTCGTCAAACCCATGCAACACTTCCAAATTAGTGTCACCTTGATCATCTTCGAAATTTGATGTCGCTTCAATATATGACTTTATAAATACTATCACCTGCAAAGCTCGACACCAAACATTAGTATCGATGATGAAGTAAAGAATAAAAGTAAAATTGAGGAACTAGATTGAGTCACTCGGCTTATCCAGATTAGGCTATGATGAGTCCAACGCTAACTTTGATCATGACTCATAACTAGCAATCCTCCTGCACCTAGTTTCTTGCAACTTGGAAGAATCTATCAGTGTCCGACCTCAATATTCCTGCAAGATAAAAAGAAACTTGTTTATCACTTGAGGCAATATAAAGCAATAGAGATAAAATGAGATTGAAGATTTTCTAGGTTTCGCTGATGAGTCCACAATGGGTGCAAGTGATGCCCTTTGTCATTCATGACAGCTTTGTATAGCCATTTTGTGACTTCAATGTTCCTGCATCCAAATAAAATTCTTAGTTTGAAGGACTGATCTGTGTTGGTCTTGTCTCCATGCTCCTTCTTGCAGTTGGCTTACACGCTCGCCCGTTCTTTATAAGAACTCTCATAATTTGCTCTGTTAATTCTGAGGTTGCTTATTCTGGAATCCTGAGGCCCCTCCTCAAAATTTTGTCCCAGTTTACCTCAATAAGTAACAAATGACATTTGTGGAATTTTTGAGATCATCTCAAAAATTCTGTCCCAGTTGCAAACTAGATTGTCGTAATTGTTAGATCCACCCAAAGCTAACTCCGTAGAATGTTGGTCTTCTGTTTTGAATTGTTAAAAATGTCCTACTTCAAATGAATTTTTGAGTTCCTTTCAAAAATCCTATCCTAGTTTCCATTATGAAGAGAAATGGAAATCTTACTGGGTATATGACCGAGCCGTTGTGGCACCTACGTATCCCATTGGAGCAGGAATCAGGTCAAACGTAGTTCCCCTCTCAAGGGTTGACCAAAATAGGAAGTTTTGATAATGAAACGACTGAGGCCGATATAGGCCGCCTACGTATCTCATTCTTGAGAATTCAGGTCGAACGTAGTTCAAACAGGAAATGTGCGATACATTTTCAAAAGAAAGGTGACAAAACTTTGTGTGCGAAATTTCGTCCAATGTTGGGCATTCTTTTCCTCAAATGAATATCTTCAAATGACTCTGTTCAGAAATGTCTTGTACTCACTCTTGAGCATCCAATATGTCATCCATTCAGGTGGTTTCCTCAATATTGATCAAGTTGTTGTTGATCATGTTTTGTATCTTGCGCTTCAGAGTTGAACAATTCTCTGTGTCATGTCCAACAGCTCCTGAATGACAAGCACATCTGTGGTCAGCTCTGTAAAATTTTCCCAAAGGATTAGCTGGTCTTCCTTCTATAGGATAGAGCATACCCATTGCTTTCAACCTTTCATAAAGTTGAGTTTCTGACTCCCTTAATGGGGTAAATACCTTAGGAGCCTTTCCGAATTTTGGGCGAGGAAATTTTTCCTGACTGACATTATGGTTTTGATATTTCTTTTGAGAAGCTGACCTCATATGAGTAGCCGTGATCGTACTTACCTCCTCCACTTTTCCTTTTGGTCTATCCATATCACTGATTCTAGTAGATTTTCCATTAGATTGCAATGCGGTATGTTTGGTGAGCTTTCCAGTCTTGAAATGATCTTCCAAAGCTTCTCCCACTTTGACAATCTCGACGAACTTTTGTCCCATCATACACAACATTCTTTCATAGTACTCAGGCTCTTGAGTACGAATGAACATTTCAACGATCTCACATTCGGACATTGGAGGTTGAACTCTTGCGGCCTTTTTTCTCCAACGAAAAGCGTACTCTCGATAATTTTCTGTAGACTTCTGTTTGATCTTCTCCAGGTAGTAGCGACCTGGGGCATCTTCTATGTTATGTCCAAATCTTTCCGTGAAATCCCTTGCGAGTGCATTCCAACTTTTCCATTGTTTCAGCTCCTGTGATGTAAGCCACTCCAGAGCTTCTCCACTTAGACTTCGACCGAAGAGACGCATCAATAATGCTTCATTTTTGCCAACTCCCACGAGTTGATCACAATAAACTCTCAGATGTGCTAGAGGATTTCCTGTTCCATTAAAAGTGACAAACTTTGGCACTTTGAACCCTTCTGGGAGGTCGAGATTCGGATGGATGCATAAATTCTTATAGCTCAATCCATCGACTTCGAAAATATAGTGCAACTCCTCCATGGCTTTCCTGATCTCTTCTTTCATATTCACCATGAGTACCTCTTCTTTTGATCTCCACTCTCTCTCCTAATCCTTATAGTGATCAAGCTCGGAACAGTTGGCATAAGGTTCATTTGAAGTTGGGATTTGGAAAGTAATCTTTTGAGGTATGGGTGGAACAATTGAAGGATTCTGGGTATTTTGAGTGGCTTGATAATTTTGGGGGAAATTTTGAGGATCGGTATTTTGGTTTTGAAGATGGGGGAAGGTTTGAGCAGTGTTCGTATTTTGGTTTTGAGTGAGTTGAAGGATTTGATTTGTATTGTGAGGATGATGTGGTGCTTGACACGATGTGGTGGTGTGACAGGGATTAGGGGTAGTTGAGTCAATGGTAGGAGGATTTTGAGCGGGGTTAGAGAGAAGGTTATGAACATGTTCCGCGTTTGGGGGAGGAAAGTGGAGTGGAGGTCTTCCATCTCTTGGAGGGTTGAAGGATGAAATTGGATTAGAAAAATCTTGCATTCTTTGCATTTCGACCCTCATTTCGGCGATCTGTTGCATCAACTGCATAATCAATTCATTTTTATCAGCGGCAGCGGGTTGAGCCATGACAACATCATTCATGTCAATCTCATCATTGTTATCCCCCATTGCTGTCTTTTCTTTTTGCAAATTTGATCGAGGAAGAAATCTTTAGGGGCCTTAGACCTTGTGAAATACAGATGATCAACCAACTTATCAACACAGATCTGTTTTAAATACCTGACAAATGAAAAATAACTCAAAAGACCAATACGTTAGTGTCTGAAGGTGGTAAATAATACAAGATATCACATATAGGTGAAAACACATAAGAGTTGCTTTATTCGGAAATAAACTGGCTCACCAACATAGAGAAATGATTAAATAGATAGGAATTTGTCTACTTGACTTTGGGATTCAGTAAATAAGGATGTCGACTTGAGTCGAGACAAAGTTGGCGGTATCTTTCATTATCGTACTTTGATTTTTGATTGAAATGTAACTCTAATTTCCTTGTAAGAGTTGGAAAAGATAAAATTCCTAAAAATTCTTTTGATTCGAAATGATGAATATTTTTCTGGTATGAGAGTAATACTAAAGAAAAATGAAGTTCGTTTTTTTTTAGAAACTAAAGTCTCGAAGAATATTTGGATGCACTTTTGATAGTGACTTGATATTTGTGCTTACGGGTATCTAAAAGTATTTGAGGAAGAGTGAGCTAGAATATCTCCAGATAAAACAACATATTCACATAAGCAGTTATAACACATAAACAAATATTGCGCATTCTAAACAGTTATGTGGCCTTTTTCTGCCAAGGGTAGGCCTAGCGCATTCAAATGATGCGTCGTGAGGTCGAAGACCCGATTTGACGGGTTTTCTACTAAAATGGACTTAATACTCCTTGTGTATTAAGTCGTCCTAGGCTGATGCCTAATTCGGTTTTGGTTTCGCTCTATCTTAGGTTTTCTAGATTTGTTTTCAAATAGATGGTTACCCAAGCCGAACAAACATCGGGGTGGAGCTATCGAACAACGCCGAATGACCGTATTCCGACTATTTGTTCGCTACTCCCAAATGACTTTTTGGGTATATCTGAGAGAAGTCGCGGTAAGCCACGTAACTTCCGTTTCCTAATGCAATCTATTTGCCGTTTGACGGAAGTTATGCCATGACATGCAATTTTTGAAAACTAAAGTAATCTAAACAATTAATTACAAGTTAGTCAAATTGAGTTAATCTTAGGGTTAGAATCCTCCGTCCCTAGCAGAGTCGTCATTTCTGTTTTATCGAAAATTTGATTTCGAAAAGAGTTTGTTTATTTTTAGAGTTATTTTCGACTTTTAGGAGTCGCCACTTAATTTTTATGAAAAATCAATAAAACTTATTTCCAAAACAAATTAAACAGAAAAAATCGTTTTGAAAACTTTAAAGGGGGTTCGGGATTCCTATTAGCATCTTAGGAATGTTTCGAAAAAGAAAGCACCTAAGACGCTCCGCTAACTTACGATTTTCCGACGATTAACTTATTTGACTATTTTATTTAACGTGTGCAGATCTTTTGTTATTGAACTTATTAGACAATTACTTAGGCGAATTTACAAATTTTTTGAAACACTCATTGTTTATTTTGCAACTTTTGCGAATCTGTTACAAGGCTTAACTTCCTTAAGGTTTTAACTAAACAAGCTTTACGAATTTGAAATATTATCATTTTTAGATTCGATTTTAATCTTTTAAGTTTGATAAAATAAAAAGGCGTTCGATGGGGATTCGGAGTTTCTAACCCTAACTAACGACATTCACGCAGACATGTAAAACGAATAGTAAAGAGAGAGAGAGAGAGAGAGAGGGAAAGAGAGATTTGGGTCCAATTTCGGTTCTATTCGCCTTGACGGAATATTGGACCCACCTGTTTTTGGGTTTTTTGACCCATTTTTTTCTTTTGTGCCTGTCCTAGTCTAAACATATAAGAATAAATATAAGAGAAATATGGAAAAACAATAAGGGCTTATGCCCATTACAAATGAAAATACGAAAAATATAAAAATAAAGAAGTCTTCTAGTCTATTTCTTCAACTTTCTCAGATTCCTTGAACTTCGGGTCTTCTCGCCGTTATCGGAGCTTGACTCGATGAAAGAGAAATGTGAGTCTTTACGACTCTCTCGAAATGTAAAAAAGGGAGAGTTCATAAATAACTCAAATGGATTTTACATGCAATCAAACAAAAAAAAGCACATGAGACGGCATAATAAACAAAACAAGCTATGAACTAGAGTAACTTTACAAACTATTAAGCAATAAGCAAAACCAAGGACTATCGAGTAAATTGTTAACAACTAACTTGGATTAAAGTGTTTCAACTAACCCATTTCAATTTTTTGAAGGACTAAGCTAACAACACATATAACAATCCGATACATCTCGCTAGTAGTTAGAAAAGACCATGCACAAAATAAAAGTAGGCAAGACAACTACAATATAATCATATTAAATGCAGAGAAACCCAACAAAGAATAAAGGAAACTAACGAAAACATGCTTCCAGAGGCGTGAATCAAACGACCTTATTAATATAAAGGCTGAACAATAATACCTGACTGTGTTTGACATAGTACTAACAATGAATATCCACATTCAAATCCCACAAAAACCAACAGAACTCTTATTCTATTTCTTTTTGACTTCAAATGAATAACTCGTATTTAAACCTTGTTGAAACGAGTGACTATCACCAGAAAAAAACTCACGAGAACCCATAGCAAGGAAAGATAAGCTGAAACATGTGGAAGATCATGTTAAGAAGTAAAAATACAAATACGAATTTCCAAAAGATTGCAAAGATAAAAACTTAGAGTCAAAACACATCATGCAAGATCAGCTAACCACCAACGATGGTTGTTTCATAATTTAACTGAGTAACTAAGTAAACGATGACGGATTTAACATAGAATTTTGAATTAAAGAGCTAATTCAAACAAACCAAACTAACGCAGAAACAGCTTTATACAATCACATTAGGCCATAACAACACCAATTATAATCCTATCCCCATCAATGACTAAAAGGCAACAAAGAGATAGTGAACTGCTTTGAAGAGAAACAACGATCATAGCGACTAGCCTAACAATGAACAAACAGAACAAAAATGATACTCATTTTAGCAGTTAGCAGGGCAAACAAAATGAAATCATAAACGAGGCACAATAGTATGCTATGAACTCAATAAACAAGGATAGCAATATCGGTTATTGCAATACTGAGGGAGAAAAGTGGGGCATCACTAGAAAGTTACGACAAATGAACTAGTCGAGGGAGCTGTTACCTTTCTCTGGAGCACCAAAGTGGGACGGAAACGAGCAGCAAACAATGGCGACCTCCACCGCGAACCTCGACACCGACAGTAAACCCAGAAAACTTCGACAGTTCCTCCGAGGCAAGCAGAAGAACTTAACGAAGTTCCAACCCAGAATTACCCAAAACATGAACTGTTCTTCCTGTCCGAGTGCTAATCCTGAAAACCCGAATATCTATGTATTCTATATTGATGGGATTTCAACCAGAACCAACAACAACAAAAAACAACAACAGCCAAGCTTTTTCTTTTCGAAAATTCCCAAAAAAATATCCAACCTAAAATCGCTAACCCCCCTTTTCTGAAGAGGAAAGGGGGTTTATATAGGAGAAGAAGACTTAAGGTTTCGAATTTTGGGCGGGATCGACCATTTGAGGCCCATCTGCTATTCGAAATTCAAAAAACCCCACAAACTTATCCAAAGCACTCGAACGGGAAAGAGGTGGAGGGATGAGATTAGTTTCTCGTACTGGACAGGCTACGTGGAGACATCTTGTGCTACCAAGGACGAACAAGGACTACTCGCGTCACCTAGCACTGCGAAATCGTACGAGTGAGAGAGACTTTGCGAGAGAAACGATAAAAGACAGCAGGTGTCCATTGCTAAATCTTCCATCACGCGCGATGAGAGAGATGAGAGGAGGGAGCCGCGACGCGTGAGGAGACGCGGAGACCGATTGTTGGAGTCGCGTGAGGCTACTGTTTTTGGTTTCTGTTGCTTTTCCGCGTTTTTGGGTTCTGCTGGGGTATCGCGTGGCTGGCTTGGGAATTTGTTGGCGTCTACTGGCTTTTCTAGTTTTTTTTTGTTTCTTCCGTTTCTGTTTTTCTGGAAACGTTGGGCGTGGGGGAAGAGGAAAGAAGGGGAGAAGGGAGATGGAAAGGGGTTGGGTCGGGTAGAAGGGAGAAACGGGTCAGGGTCGGGTTGAAGGGAAATGTGGGCTGGGTCGGGTAAAACTTAAAGTGTTGGGCCTAGGAATGGTTTGGGCTGCTGGGGGAAATTAGGTTGGTTTCGAATATACACAAGATATACCAGGTATATACACAACTATATAAACGTTAAATCGTTATATTTTTGCAAAATTATAAAACTAATTAATTTAAGTGATTTGGAAAACTCATGAAGCTCGCTAATTAAATCATACCGGCGCGGGTCCGAAATTGGGTGTCAGCAACCTCA